ATACTTTTACTTTTGAAACCGACCCACACAATATTTGCTGAAGAGAAAGAATCGCAATAGAGCATAAGATTGTCGAACAGATAAAGCGTAGACAACTCGGCTAATGAATAGACAAAATTAATTCAAGAACTCTTTTCCGTTTACGAAAGCCGTGATGTCATATTTTACCGAGTCCCAACTCGATAGGTACCGTCGACATTCGCACAGATTCTGCCCCCATAAGACAGTCTGACGACATATCTTAACCCAAACAGGATGAGCAGGGGTGAAAACTGAGGAGATGTTCAATGAACGTACGTCGAACGCAGATCTTCGGTGATATTTCTCCAACTTCTTGCAGTATCCTCCAAAACAGAAAAGGCGCCTAGAGTAGGCAGGTTAAATGCAATTAATACCTGCAAGAACAATTTAGTGGCCCGACGTCACCACAGCTTTTCGTCGAACCCTCAAAGAACCTGTTTTGTTGGACCTCAACAACCATTTCGAATGTATTTGCTGGGGGCACAAGCTCATCCCTCACGTCGCGACGGCTTATCTTCCGTTTCTTAAAACGGTCCTCCTCCTCATCATCATCCCGATCGACCTCGTCCATGTAATCCTCATCTATAATCCAATAGCACCTGATCACATCCTACTTACACAGCCTGACAGCTCCCATCCCTAAAATAAAAAGAACAACGACTTTTTCATTCATTGTTGCGCAGAATCCACCCACCAAAGCATAGCGACCGCAAATGCCCAGCTGTGTCGTCAAGGCGCACGAACCGCTACAGCAATTGATGCACACTAACAAGGCACAGACTGAATGCACACAACATTGATCAGTTATGGTCTGGCTTTTAAAAAAATTCCAATTTGTGTGCTTTTAAGAACAAAATGTTAAGTTAATTAAAATTTAATGTTAGATATCAAACACTGCATGTTTTTTTAGTATTTTAGAAAACACTTAAAAAATATTTATCCTGCGCAACTGTTTTATAACTTAAAATATTCAAAAACTGTCGTTTGCAGCATTTTCCGATTGTGTGAGAAATAAAATTTAATGAAACAAATTTGCGCTCCTGGCTTTATATACATCAGCTTTTTATTGTTATTATTTGCAAATGTTA